AAGCATTTGGCATCTGAATGTAGACCATCCCTACAAGTTTCCTCCATTCACTACATTAATCATTATTTTGCTAAAAGCATTTGTCAGGAAATGTTACATACGAGTTTTAAATGTCGGCTATTTAAAATACCAGCCCGGAAATATACAGCAAGATCTGACTCCTGAAACAATAAGCTTGTCTGTGTCTCACTACTGGGTATTTTTGTCACTTTCTTCACTTGACTACAAAGTCTTCCTACTGGACATGTCTGGGACAAGCAGAGGAAGAAAAGCTATACTATAATGATGACAAATTATGCTTCAAAATTGGTCTCTGTGCTTTTATACGTCAGTAGTTTTGAGATACAGGCAAAGTATTGCATTTCAAGAAACAATTTGAATCAAGAATTTCTTCCACAAACAGCTGTGGATGTTGGATCAATTGTTAGTTTTAAGTCTGAGATAGATGAATTTTTGTTAAACAAAGGGTATGAAGGAATATGTGTGCCCAAGGCAGGGATATGGGGTTAAGTCACAGATCAGTCATGGTCTCATTGAATGGTAGAACAGGCTCAAGGGGCTTAATGGCCCACTCCTGTTCCTATGTTCCTGTAAAGCTCTTTCCCCCTTCTCTGCAAGTTTGTCTTTTACAGATACTTACTACATATTGTACTTCAAACACTTCCACTGCCTCAGGTCTGAGTAATCCATTTGACCACAGGTTCACATTCTTGCAGCTGTATCTTTTACTTGTAATACCTCTGACTCCCAATAGGAGCTGCTGGAGAGCAAGGAAGAGTAGGAGCCTTGAGTGATAGAATCATCCCAGTTTTGGTCCTGTCTTGGTATTTATTCATGGTGGGCCTTGTGGCAGGGCCAGCATTGATTGCCCATCCCAAATTACCCAGAAGGCAGTTAAGAACAACCACGTTGCCGTGAGTCTGGAGTTACCTGAAGGCCAGATCAGTAAAGGATGGCAGATTTTCTTCCCTAAAGGATATTAGTGTAGCAGATGGGTTTTTATTACAATCGGCAATGGTTACATGGTCACCATTAGACTAGCTTTTAACTCCAGATTGAACCCAAATTCCCTGAACATTAATCAGGAGCTCTGGGTTACCAGGTCAGCTATCATTATAAGTGCTTTCCCTTCTTGAAATATTACTGTCCTTGTGTTGTAGGGACAGTATGGAGGGAATGCCAGGATTCTGACTCAGTGACCATGGCCAATATATTTCCAAGGCAGGTTGGTGAGTGGCTTGGAGGGAAACTTGCAGAGGGTGGTGTTTCCCTATATCTGCTGCCCTTGTTCATCTAGATGGTTGTGGTCATGGGTTTCTGTCAGAGAGACATTATCTACACTGGGATCTGACCTAGGATCTTCAGACAATTCAGTGCCAGGGCATGGGATACATTTTTGTTGATTTGTTTGTGTAATATAGGTTTCATCAGCTCGGCTAGTCTTGACTGCCTGTCCCTAATTGACCTGGAGAAGGGGGTGGCAATCTGCCTTCTTAAAATGCGGGGTCTTGGTGCGTAAGGACACCCACAGAGAGTTCCAGGATTAGGACCATGTGACGCTGAAGGAACGCCAACATACTTCCAAGTCAGGTCAGTGTGTGCCTTCGAGCTGCTACTGGTGACTGGAGACCTCACTGACTGGTGTTTGAGACGGCTATCCATTAGCAATAAGCCATGCCAGTGCTACATGATCAGCAAACTACAAACACCTTCAGACCAGGGCAAGTACAGACTTCCTATTATATAAACACTGCAGTACTGAATCATGTCACACTTAATGCTGCCTTTGGATGCCCCTGTGTGTGACAGTGAGTAACAGTGAGCCAAAGTCTATTTTGAGTCTTTTCTCATATATTACTACATATTACTGTAATACTGCAGAGTTTCAGCTTCAAATCTTGCCAACCAGGATTTCACTTGTATGTCACCAGTTAGTTTTTATTGCTTTTCATAACCGTGGGGAAAGAAACTGGTCCAGAAATTTGAGAATGGGAATGGTTTGTATTCTCACAGCCATTAAACCGTTTCTTCCTTCCAGGCTAATTCTGTTTCACTCGAGCCTCCACTCTTGTACATCTTGGTGGCTAGAACAAGGCAGGAGGCTGACAGCAAGTTTCCTCTCAATCCACCCAAAACAAAGGGCAAATAGAGTTTGGCTGACGAGGTGGGTGAGAGGATGATACAATTAAAGCAGGGCTTCACATTTTTGTGTTTTTTTTTCCCCAAGGAACAATCTTTGATTTGATGAAGTGGTGGAGTTAAATCTGAAATGGCAAGACTCCAGTGGCTAAACCTCTTCAAGCCCAACCAATCACAGAGCTCGTGTTTTACAACAAGCACTGAAAGGCTCAGTTCTTTCAGCAGAAGGTATAAGCAGCGAAATGGGCAGAATTGGAATGAAGGACATTCAGAGACACGGTGTGACAACTGACCGCGTCGTGACCAACTGTCCCATCTCAGGACACAGGGTCCATTAACTTTGCCATATTCTGGCCCAGTTTTAACTCACCCATCAAATGACCAGGCTGATGTAAGAACAGTGTAATTTGGGGATTCCTGTAAAGGATACATTATCCACATCAAACTGTTACATTGGAGACAAGCTTTTACACTCATATTAACATACTTTCTTCTTAAAAAGCTAGCGATTCCACCCCTTATTACAAACTGATACCACATCCAATATTCAACACTAACTCTACACCAGGGATTGAGACGTGGGCCCTGCTGTCCCCAATAGTTCCTGATCTTGGCTGGGCATCTCTCCGTGGCGAGGCGCTAGAGGTCATTCGACGATCACCCTCTTGCGCCTCCCAGTGGCCATCTTAGATGCAGCCCTGTTTACGGCCAGACCACGATCCAGAGAGACTGAGGAGAGAAACAGAAGAGCCTTATTGTTACAAAAAAAAACTCGAAAATAAAACAAAATTCATCGAGATTCCCCTAGGAGTGGCACAGAATAAAACAAGTCCTCTCACCCGTGGAGTTGCTTGGCCACACGAGCTGTGGGACTATTGTAGACCAATATTGCGCTAGTTTTAGAACTGCAACAAACTCACCATCGCCAGCGAGGTATAATCTATGTACAGAAAATGACTAAAAAATAATTTGGACTGATGTGAGAGATCTTCACTACTTCAAATACACATTCACTTGACCGCACATTAGAAGCCAAGAGATATTCATTGCCAGTAAAATACTATCTTTAAAAAAAGAAAATTTGACTTTTGCCAACTCAACTTCGGTATCTTTCAGAAAACATCGGCGTAACAAAAATAAACAAAGCAACCAATCCTTGTCCATTAACCAGGAATGACTTTGTGAAAAAGTATCTTTTCAGTTTTTTTTTACACATACAGCATGTCTATTACAAAGTACTGATACTAAAATCTCCCTTTACAAATCAATGAGGATCAGAGTCTCTGAGAAAGTAACTGAAGTGCATTTCCAGAAGTTTTCTTCGTATATATATATTTATATTTTGGACATTTCCCTTATTAAAACTAAAATTCAGCTATCCTCTTGTTTGGAATTCAAGACAGACATTCAGCATGCAAAAAAAAAGCTTTTAAAATATACACAGTTGTTACTTCATGATTAAGACACTATATCCTTTGTCTTATTGTTCAGGCAGGCACTGTACAATACACAGGGTACAGACACATGCCAATTGCATTGCTTCTGCATTCTACCAGTCACAAGGTTGATGTCATTAAAGCAACTACCATAGCAACACTAAGCAAGGCAGCAGAGACCAATCACGACTATTATTAATTACTAATAATGATATTTTTGTTTTTTTTTGCTTATGGATTTTGTCTTGCGATTGTATGTAATCTTTTTTATTGTTTGAAAGAGCCATTCTCCTTGTTCCCTGTTTGCCATTTTTGGACTCTGCATGTGCCATTGATATGGTTGGGGTGGGGGGATGGGGGGTTGGTGGTGGCGATGGGGGTGGGGGGGGTCGAGGTAAGAGGGAGTTTGTGGGGGATGGGGAGGGAGATGCATTTTCTGAGAAACCGCAACCTCCCTCCTACTCCAATGACATCATTCAGCTCAAGCGCAAATTAAAAATAAAAACAGGAACAAAACAAAACCTGCCAACAGCATAGATAGTCCAGTTTGCATGCGAATGGTTTACTCACTGTCACCCAGGAGAAGGTGGGGGGGTAGGGGGGGGAGGTGAAGAACTAAATGATTATTTCACAATATGCAAGGTGGGTCAAGAATGTCCAAATTGACCAAATGCTGAAGACAATGGGCATAACAGTCAATGGTATTGGATGCACTTGGCTTTCGTTTTGTTGTATTCAGCAGTTGCAGCACATCCAAGGGTTAATTTTTTTTTGTTAACTTGCATGTTGGAGTCCGGATGCATAAAGATCAGGCCAGGAGGTGACTTCAGGATTGAGCATCTTGCCATTTTCAGCCCTTGCCTCTCTCAGCAGCAAGGGGTGAGCTTGCTGCATTTCCTTTTCAAACACACACAAGTCATCTCCGATCTTGGAGGCCTGGCAGAGTAATGCTGGCACCGAAGGGGCGGTGGGCTCTTTGGTGTGGGGGGTGGGGGGCAGCGTGGGTATAGAGGTGGGAGAAGTTTGACGGGGGAGGGTGGAAGGGGGCAGAGCGTTGATTAAATGAGCATCACTCACAGGACATGAAATGCAAGCGCATACCAACCGCATCCGTTTCAGCTCCGAGCCCCTCCCTCGGAAAATCGTCCCCAATCCTGCAGCTGCCTGTGTGAGTGTGTGTGTGTGTCTGAGAGAGAGACTGATGGTATTGGTGAAGGTCTAACCAAAGGGAACATGGACCCAGCCATGCATGCTGCATAATGACAGCCCGGGGAGTACCAACACCATCAGGGGCTGGTGGGACTCTTGGGACACATCGAGGGGGTTGGGGAAAAGAAATAAAACCGAGCTGTTACAAAGCGTCGGGTGTCCAATTTGTCAAGCAGGATGGGGTGAGGGCTGGTGGAGAGGTGAGCAGGGAAATGTTTATTCTTCACGGACAAGGAGACGGTAGCGGTGATAACGGAGCTGGAAAAACATCTTCTCCAAGAAGGAGTGGCTCATTCCCGGGAGCACGTAATGTTCGGTGATGCCCACATATCTGAAGCCCAGCGACTCGTACAGCTTGTGAGCGGCCGGCTTGACAGCGGTGGTCCCCAGCACCACGGCCGAATAGTTGTTGAGCATCGCAAACTCCAGCACCTTGCGGCCCAGGGCCTTGGCAATGCCCTTCCCCCGCTGCTCAAAATCCACCGACATCCGGCGAAGCTCCACCATGTTGTCCTCTTCATTGCCCCTGGCTGCCACGATGCCCACGACATTGCCATCCAGAACCGCGACCCAGAAGCAAGAACCTGCAGAGAGACGGAAAGAGCAGGCTGAATATTATTGCGCTCAGCTGGGGTTTCTCTCGACAAGAGGGTAGATCTTGGCTGTGTGAATCCATCTATTTAAACAGCGCGCAAGATTCAAAAGTTAGTGCGTGGACTTTGTCACACTCAGTCAAAATCTACCCTGATAACATCGCACTAATAAAACAAGAAAAACCAGCGAAAATCCACCAGCATTAGTCTCTCTGTTTCTCATATATATATATATATAACACACATATGTACTTGTCACTTAGTTATTAATGTGAATGTGTAAATATTAAAACGGCATGGATTTTACACAGAAATCAATGCATAGACTCAATAAAACTACTCAGTAATATCTGGGGTATTTGTTTGAACATCTTCCTCCTTCCCCTTCTCTGCCCACACTCACCACTACACCTCTCCCAAATTTTTCCTTCCTATTGAAGACTGCATAGTGCATTAGAGCAAACAAACATACAGATGATCAGCGTAGAGTGTCTAGAGATGTACAGCACGGAAACTCGTCCATGCTGACCAGATATCCCAAATAAATCTAGTCCCACTTGCCAGCATTTGGCCCATATCCCTCTAAACTCTTCCTATTCATATATCCATCCTGATGCCTTTTAAATGTTGTAATTGTATCAGCCTCCACCACTTCCTCTGGCAGCTCATTCCATATAAGCACCACCTTCTGCATGAGAGAAAAAGTATGTAGGCCATTCAGTCCCTTGAGTCTACTCCCACATTTGACAAGACCCATGACTGAACTGATGACTCCATATTCCCGCCCCTTCCCCGACAACCCTTCTGCTAATTAAGAATCAGTCCACCTCCGCCTCAGAAATGTTGAAAATACGTCAGCTTCTACTCTCTTTCCAGAAAGTGTTCCAAACACTTCTGTAAGAAAAAAAATTCTCTTCGCCTCGGGTCTTAAAATGGGCGATCCCTTATTTTTAAACAGCAACCCCAAGAATCTCCCACAATAGGAAGCACCCTTTACATATCCAAGCTGTGAAGAGGATTTTAATATGGGATGCATCCTCGGATATTAAAGGAGGTAGCTCCTGAGATATTGGATGCATTGGTAATGGGTCACCATTGTCTTCCCACACCGGTGGTATTTTAACCTGAAGGGGACCACACCTTAGGCAAGGGGAGAGGTTGAGAAGGAAGCACTGGTAGTAATTATCCAGGAGCCATTTGATTCTGGGAAGTCCCAGAGGACTGGAAAACTGCCAATGCAGCACCTTTATTTAGAAAAGGGAAGGAGACAAAATGATAACTATAGGCCAGTTAGCTTAATATCCGTTACGAGGAAAATATTAGTCAATTAAAAAGCAGACCATTAAGAAATGCAAATATAATCAAGCTAAGTCAGCATGGCTTAGTGAATGGGAAATCATACCTGACACATTTACTTGAATTCATTGAGAAGGTAACAAGCAGGATAGATACAGGGGAAGCAGTGGATATCATATATTTGGGTTTTCAAAAGGCATTTGTAAAGGTACCACACATGAGGTGACTTAATGAGATAACAGCCCATTGTGTTGAAAGTAATATATTGGTATGGAGAGAGGAATGGCCAACTAATGGAAAACTGAGAGTTGGGGTAAGGAGGGAATTTTCAGGATGTCAACTAGCGGACTGCTACAGGGATCAGTCTGGGACCACAATTATTTACAAAATGTATTAATGACTTTGATGAGGAAAGTGAATGTAGTGTAGCCAGGCTTCTGGGGGATACAAAGGGAGGTGGGAATGCAAATGGTGAGGATGACACAAATAATCTCTAGAGAGATTGGACAGACTCAGTGAGTGGGCTAAAGCTTAGTCGATGGAATATAATGTGGGGAAATGTGAGGTTGTGCACTTTGGCAGGAAGAATAGAGGAGCTGAACATTATTTAAATGGAGGAAGGCCGCAGAAACTATGGAATTTAGGGATTTGTGAATGGGGGGGTAAATAGAATGTTGGCCTTTATTTCAAAGAGAATGGAGTATCAAGTAGGGAGGTTTTGCTAAAATTATACAAGGCAGACCACGGGTTTGGGCCCCTTATCTAAAAAAAGATTTACTGAAAGCAGTCCAAGGAAGGCTCACTAAGTGCTACCAGGTATGGAAGAGACTGTCTTATGAGGTGGGGTTGAGAAGATTGGGCCTGTACTCATTGGAATGTAGAACAAGGAGAGGTGACCTTATTGAAACATGCAAGATTCTTAGGGGATTTGACAGGGTAGATGTGGAAAGGTTGTTTCCCCTTGTGGGAGAGTCTGGGACGAGAGGGCATAAGGGAATAAGGGATCGCAGATTTAAGACAGAGATGAGGAGGAATTTATTTTCTCAGAGGGGAGTGAATCTGTGGAATTCTTTACTATCAAGGGCTGTCGAGGCTGGGTCGTTAAGTATATTGAACGCTGAGACAGAGTTTTAATCAGGAAGGGTTATGGGGAAAAGGCGGTAAAGTGGAGTTGAGGACGATCAGATCAGCTATAATCTTATTGAATGGTGGAGCAGACTCAATGGGCTGAATGGCCTACTAGTGATCATACATGTTATGTTCATGCATTCCAATGTGTCCATCCCTCTACAGTTAAACATTTTTATTATATAAACTGTAAGCTGTCACTTGGTAATATAGAACTTGAGTATTGCTGGAAATAAAAAGACGTTGCACCAAAATGTTTCACCCTGCTCTCATCAGGAGAGATGCAAGAATACCACATCACAAGGGGAACAATAACTCCTACTGGGTGAGAAATAGGATGCTGACTGATTGGCGAATGGACTCTGATTTATACAATCCCAAAGGAAAACAATGCTCAATGTTTGACTGCATGGCTTTTAGCTTTTTATTGCTTTTGTTCTGTTAAATAATCATAAAATAACAAAAGAATACAAGTTAAATTAACTCACTACAGATCTTCTAATGAAACAAATGTGGAAAGTACAAGCCTTCATACTGAACAAACCAATTTATCCATAGAATAGAATCCATACAATGTGAAAACAGGCCATTCAACCCATCGAGTCTGCACCGACTTGTCCAAAGAGCAGACCCTATCCTTGCACTTCCCACTGCTAATGCACCTCCAAATCCCTTAACACAATGGGTAATTGAACATGGCCAATCCCCGTAAGTTGCACATCTTTGGACTGTGGGAGGAAACCAGAGCAACCGAAGGAAACCCACACAGACACAGGGAGAATGTGCAAACTCCACACAGACAGTCACCCAGACTGTCCCTGGCGCTGTGAGGTAGCAGTGCTAATCACTGAGCCACCCTGACATCCATGACTTTGTCTGGAACGATCTGAACAAGAGTTTAGCTTCATCACGTTGAAAATGCTCACTGTTTCAAACAAAGTGAATGAGTCCCGGTCTTCACATGAAACAACTAATAGAGGAAAGAGAGAGAAACTGTCCCCATCATAATCAGAAGACACTGATTAAAAATTGTTGGCAAAAGAACAGAAGGTGAGCTGTGAAAACCCAGGTTACAAGGGCAGTGGTTAAAATCTGACTGCCCAGGAGTGTGGTGGAAGAAGATTCAACCGTAAATTCCAAAAAATGGAGTTACAGAAGCACCTGAAGAGAAAAACAAAACTCAAATTGTTGTGGAGGAATGGGACTGCAGTGATGGAGTCACTCCTGCAGAGGGCTAGCACAGACACAATGCGCTGAGTAGCCTTCTCTGTTGGGGAAGTGGGGCCATTTCACTCGTTGTGCCTGAGCTGTACTCAAGCTGCCCCTTTATTGGTGACTGTTTAAGTTCCACATCCTCAAGGACCTACGCAACTCCCTTTTAAAATGATTTATCGAATCAGCTTATCAGGTGTAGCCACTAACTCTCTAATGGAGAAAGGTCTTCCTCATCTCTCTTCTAGATCTTCCTCAGATTATTTTAAATTCTTGACGTCATTCGTCAAAGGGAATAGTTTCTCCTTCTTTACTAAATTAAAATCTCTCATCATCTTGAAAGCATCTCTGAGTCCACTTTCACTAAAGTTGTCACTTTACTTCTCCTCATAAGCTCTCCTCTCCTCTTCTCGACAAAAGTCCACATAAACTTCCTTCCTACACTCTCCATGGTATTTGTATTTTTCCTGAAATATGGTGCCTGGAATTTTCCCCAATACTCCATTTGTAGTTGAATCAGTTAGTTATCAAGACCCAGAACATGATTTCCAGAGATAGTAAGAACTGCTGATGCTGGAGTCAGAGTAACACAGTGTGGAGCTGGAGGAACACGGCAGGCCAGGGCAGCATCAGAGGAGCTCAAATTCCTGGAACATTCTTTTATTAAGTCATGGATTGTGGGGGTAACTAGCTGGGCCATTATTTATTGTCCATCTCTAGTTGCCCTTGAAGAACTTGGTGGTGAGCTGCCTTCTTGAATCACTGTAATCTAGGTGCTGTAGATAGATCGACAATGCTGCCAGGGAGAGAATTCCAAGATATTCGCCCAATGAACTGAAGGAATGGCAATATATTTCCATGTCAGGATGGTGAATGGCTTGGAGGGGAACTGGAACGTTGTGATATTCCCATGTATCTGCTGCCCTTATCCTTCTAGATGGAAGTGGTCGTAGGTTTGCAAGGTACTGTCTGAGGATCTTTGGTGAATTTATGGAGTGCATCTTGTAGATAGTAAACACTGCTGCTACTGAGTGTCAGTGGTGGAGGGAGTGGATGTTTATGAATGTGGAGCCAGTCAAGTGGGCTGCTTCATCCTGAATGGTGTTAAGCTTCTTGAGCATTCTTGGAGCTGCACCATCCAGGCAAATGAGCAGTATTCCATCATGCTCTTGACTTGTGCCTTGTAGATGATGGACAGACTTTGGGGATTCAGGAAGTGAGTTACTTGTTGCAATATCCCTTGCCTCTGACCTGCTCCTGTGTTTGTGTGTTTATGTGGTGAGTCCAATTGAAGTAAACATCATTGAATGTCAATGGGCGGCGATTAGATTATCTGTAATCGGAGATGGTCATTG